TATGTATGTATGTATGTATGTATGTATTCAAAGCTGATTGATGATTCGTATGATGATGGACAGGGTCAGATGAACCTGGGAATATGCAGAGGCATAACAAATAGGGGAGACTGGAACCTGGCTAAACATGTGATCAATCAATAAAAAATTAGATGGGCACTAGGCATATTCAAACCATTTAAGTCTGGGGGAACTGATGGAATTGTACCGGCACGCTTGCAGCAAGGGATGGAACTTTTAGCCTCACATCTATGCCGCATATTTAGAGCCTGAATGGCGCATGAATTTATTCCCATTGCCTAGAGGCAAGTTAAAGTGACATTTATTCTGAAGCCCATGAAACCTGATTACCCCGAGGTCAAGGCTTATCATCCTATCAGCCTGTTGCCTTTCCTCTTGAAAACAATGGAGAAACTAGCGGATAAGCATATTAGGGATGGTGTGTTGATGATTCATCCTCTTCACTGAAACCAACATGCTCACCAAAAAGGCATATCCACTGAAACCGCACTTCATAATGTGGTAGAATGCATATAAAATGGTATTGAACACAAGGATATTGTCCTTGGAGCATTCTTTGACATGGAGAGAGCTTTTAATAGAACCTCATTTGACACAATAAAACAGGCTATGCTACTGAGCCTGCAATATGCAGATGGATCTGTGCTATGTTGGAAAGCAGGAACATAGTTGCTACATTGTCTGGAGAGACCCTGGGAGCGTCTGTGGCATCGGGGTGGGGGAGAGCCACAGGGAGGTGTGCTTTTGTCTCTGTTGTGGAGCCTGTTCATGGACGATTTTCTTTGGGAGCTCAACAACAGTGGGTAATACATGGTAGGATATCCTGATGATATAGCAGTCCTAATCAATGGAAAATTCCCTCAAGACTGCATCAAAGGTCTCCAAAACAGCTCTGTGCACAGTCCAACGGTGGTGTGAAAGAGTGGTGTTGAGCTAGTCTCAATGACTAGCTCTTTCTAAGGGGCCCAACTGAGTAGGTTTATCCTTCCCTATCCACCTGAAGACGGAGACAGATCCAGTCTCCGAAACGTCGTGGTTTTTTGTCTTTTACATACCAGATGATGGGTGAAGTCCAAAATAAGCCAAAAGAAGTACAGTATACACCATCGTCAGAATCCTTTCAAGTCTATCTTGAATAGTCTTCGCTGCTCCTTATTTAGCCTCGGCACGGACAAGACAGAAATCAGTTGTGTAATAGGTACAACTGTTGCCTGACCACGTGTTTGCTGATAGCCTAGCAACGCTGTCGGGTATTGTTTACTGCTGCATAGCAACTGCGGCATCCTGTGTTACATGACCGTGGCAATGGTTGCCTGGTGCCGCCGCTCCTCTGCCACGTCACCGCGGGGAAGGGGGTGTCTACCGAGCATTGCACACTGATGGACGGAGTGGGGGTATGTGACATCACTCATGAGATCACAGAGTTCACGCGACCCCCACCTCCCGCTACACCATCCACGTCACACTATGTATTAATCTACAGTGTTTGGGAATGTAGATGAGATAATACTGAATATCTGAATACCGATATCTGAATTCAGCATTAACAAGGGTTTTGTGAATTTATTCTTCTCTTAACTTCATCTTGAACTTCATGTGTGTTTCTGATTGTTATTCATATTTAGAGAGATTTTCAGATGGTTTACTACTTACAGTTATATAATCACTTGGCTGCAGAGTTTAGTTTCAAATTTGAAGCTTATATACCAATAAAAACTAAGATTATGGTCTTCTGGTTTATGACACTATGTAGTTTCATACGTGTTACCCTAAATACAGGGGAAAAATCCCCAAATTGCTGCCTTCATACTGCCTACTGAAGATGGAGGTGGTAGGTTCATCTGAAATGTGACCACCTACAGAACTAAAAAAGACCACAATCTTGTGTTTTCATTTATTCACACATTCATATACTTAGTTCAATTTGCTTTAATAGCAGCTAGGCTTACTGCTTACCTGCACAGCATCATGGAAGTTGAGAAGGGACTCTTTCAGGGATTTCACTGGTACTAACCAATCTTGAATAATATGATTATTTTCATATAGATTTGTGATGGCTTTTGTTTCAGTTACTTTCAATAATGAGACCTTTGGTGGCATCATCCAACCCAGTAGGTAGCGGAAGATAATGTTGTTGCCAAATGGAATTATATTCTGCAAGGGGAAACAATGAGGGTACTTAAGAGAATGAATTGTATATGGAAATATTCTCATAAACCATTTTTAGGCAGAAAAATTATTTTACACAAAAATAATAGAAATATCTCATATTTACAGTATCACCCTTTATGTCATGAAGAATATGACACTAGAGTGGTAAAATGGGAGGAACTGGAGAGGAAACAGTTTTGACTTATTTTAATCCTCTTCTGATCTTACTCAAAACTGCAACTCTGTACTTTACCCTATTATTTCATAAAAGGAATTTTCTGTATTATTATGTATTATTATTAAGGTAATAACTAGATAATCAAAGCCAATACATTAAAGGAACACTGTCCTCATACATTGCAAGATATACTGAAGCATCAAGAAGCTAATAAACTCTTCAAAATATGTCAGTGGGATGCAGGAATAAGATATAAACTCTTTCAAGTGCTCAGGCAAAGAACAATTTACACAGCAGTGTTTTGAAATGAGAGAAGGTTAACGTATACTCCAACATACATCCCTATAAACTGAGGAAAAGAGCAAAAGACTTCAATTAGTAAAGCCTGCTTCATAATTTATAAGGGACCTCTCACATGAGCATATTACAAAGCACCACTTTTTACACGCATCCAGTATTCAAATTGGCTTTTCAATTTAATTATAATGAGCCATTTTCTTAAATCATATACAGATATATTTTTGGAGAAAACTAGTCTCAGTCAGATATGCAGATTTATGTCACACACAGAATTCAATATCTGTTTATAAGTAGACTATGGCGGTACTAACAACAGTAATGTTCTATTATTCTGAAAGTTCCTGGATCATATCTGAATTGTGACCAGTGGTTTTCAGTTCCCCTCAGTTTCTCCAGGCAAATGCCAAGATGATACACAGATAATGAACGAAAAGTACTATCTCCTGGTATGTGATATCATGTAGTCTGGTAGTAGTATACAAACGTTTCTAAGGAATATGCTGTCTCCAACAACAGAGCTTAAGAATAAGCCAAGCAAGCAGCAGGCACTCTGCATTCAGTATTTTTATAAAATAACTGCAGTGTGTTATTTAAATTAGGATATAAAGACTTAACTGTACTGATGAATAATATACCTCAACTTCCCAAAAGAGTGGTTTTGTATGTCTGTGATAGTACTCTCTCAGTGGTATATACTCATGGCCAGGACCCTCCTCCAGAGCCTTCCTAACATGAGTGAAAAACCATGGTTTGTACCACTTTCCTATTTCATTCAGCTGTAAAAGATCACAAGTTACAATTATGATTAAAGTAGTACATTCCCAGTTACACTTGCATGATTATTCATGTAAGTATGATCCATACAGTAATGCAAAGAGTTATGAAAAATACTGTCATGTGTAGGAAGGTATGCATGATGAAAATAACAAGTTCTAGATTGGATGATTGGATTTATTAGCACTTCTGTTACAGTCTCTCTTAATTACAATTAATACAGAGCTATAGCTGATTTACACAATTTACAGCTCACCATTACATACACACTAGGATTCTCTGTCTTCACTAGTCGTGTCCTAGCAACGGATCTCAACACAGAAACTAGCACTTCAAATCACTATGAAGTCTTCTTTCCATTTTTTGTTCAATCACCCAGGAACCTCAGAACTCAACTAAAACTCTTCTTAGCTACAAGCAGACTTGTGTTACATAGCTATGGCATGGACAGTGCAGAAAACACAGTTTTACTGCAGACAACAAAGAAAACACAAGTCACGTGATAGTTAAGCACTGTTGGGGTGTGATGTCATTGCACATGTGTGAAAGTGTGTTTACTGGGCCACTGCCTAGGAAGAAGTTGCATAACCCCATTGTTCTATTGTTACATGTGCATATCACGGGGTGTTTATTGAGCCGTTGCCTGGCAGTGCATTAACAAGTCACAATATATAAAAACATATAAAAATATGAAACGCAATAAATTAAATCAGTGCTTTTACCTTTTTTATGCTTTTATATACACTTTGTAACTCTTTGCATTTAAGTGTGGCCTTTTAACATCTGAAGTGCCCCAATCAGGCCAGTGATGAGTATGGTCATCGTGGCCAAAGTACCCTGATTTGGCCAGTCGGGCATTTAAACTCCGCCAGTGGAAGTGCGTGCACACTCCACTAGTAGAAGTGCATGCACAGTCCTAAGCATTTATTTTTAAATGTAGTAATTACCAGACAGACTTGAGTAAAACCCTAATAGAGGAATTAAAATGATACCTATGTGAACAACAACAAAAAAGGGTATACACTTATGTATGAGTTATGCCAAAACTCATTCACGAGCCAGTATTTTTACTGCAGATTCTGCAGATTAATGCATTAAAATATATAGTAAAATTTGATGCACATACCTTTTTCTGTTGTTATCTGCTTGATGTATATATAGCCTGAAATGAAACTACAGTACAGTCAACTCTCGATTATCCGGGATAATGGTGGGGATGGAAATCACGATTAATCGAAAACCCGGTTAAGACAAATTTTATTAAAAGTAGTACTGTAATACTGTACCTTCATAATACTATAGGCCTACCTGCATTTAAATTTATTCAACCTCATTTTTATGTCATCTCATGGCCTATTTAATACTTTTTTTACATTACACTGAAGTATGAATTAGTTATTTCAATCACAGTCTTCAACAACATCCAACACTTTTTACGAACATTCACACTTAACACTTAAAAAAATTTAATATTGTCGTTTACTTTTTCACGGCATTTTCCTTTTTCTGTTGAATACTTAACACAACATGCTTCCTTTTACAGATTGACATTTTGCTAACGCACTTGAAGATCAATACAAAGATACTAACTGGGGCGATGTATCTGTCCTTGAAACTTTCCACAAATCCTTGCATTCTTTCACCCCTACCCTAGAACATTGTGTTAGCATAACGGGACCAAAGAATGCAGAGCTCGGTTCACACTAGTGCGAAAATAGTGTTACAACTCGCCATGTGAAACAAAAGTGAATGAATGTTAAACAACATATAAGCCTCAAAAAAGCGTCAGCTGCCCCGGTTAAGCCGCAAACCGGTTAATCCGCCCCCGGATAATCGAGAGTTGACTGTATTCGATTTCACTATGAATGCACAGAAAACAGATCACACTCTGTATCTCAGCCACAATGTAAGTGTCTATTCAGGACCATAGAAAGGGCAATAATCTCTTGCAGCTATAATGGGAGGTCTTAGCACTGAAGAAGGGACCCCTCTAGCTTTTTCTTGAATAGCGATGCTTTCATTCTTCTGTCCTTTAGTCAAAAGATTCGAGAATCTGAAGAGCGTAACAAAGATGTAAAATTTGCCAGCAGAGAACCAAATGATTTTATTGCTTCCATCTGTTTTATGACACCAGAGACTGCTAAAATATGTCAGGTGTTACGTACAAGCAGGAATGAATTTATAATGCAGAACAACTCTGTGAAGAACAGGGAAATCATTTTTACAGTACGCATCAAAATTAAAAGAGAGAATTGAAAATAGAGTATAACCCTTTGTATGAAAATTTTCAAACCTTCCATTATAATATGCGACACTATGTTCTTTGCTGGCCGGTCACAGTAGCCGAGCAGTCTAAGGCATGCACTGTCTTCGCTCGCTCGGAAGCAGGGATCATGGGTTCGAATCCCACTCAGGGCATGGATGTTTGTGTGTGTTTTTCTGTGTTTGTCTACAGGTAGAGGCCTTGCGACGAGCTGATCACTCGCCCAAGGAGTCCTACCATATGTGTAAGATCTAGAAAAACCGAAGTGAACGGAGTTCATGGAGGTAGGCCTAGGCCCACTGGGGCTGTAGTGCCAAGGGGAAAAAAAATGTTCTTTGCTGATTCAAACAAAGTTAATTCTGTCCATTTATCATAGAAATTGTATTAGATACAGCATTTTTAAACACAGTGCTTAAAATTGTTTAAGCTCCCTAAAAGGAACGGACATTTAGACGCAGAGCAGCAACGGGCATTTAAATAAACTACGGCCAGCATAAGCTTACCACCATTTCAAAAGTCCAGCATTTAAAAGTTAATATGTTTGGTTTGTGTTTTGCACCTCATGATGACCACTTTGCAATTGAACGATGTAGTGTATGAGTAGGAATAAAAATGACATGGTTTTAACATACCTGTAAGCTTGTGTGACAGATAATCTAAAACCTTGAATGATGGACACAAGTTGGATGTATTCAAATTAAAAATAAATATTAAACTTACTTTTCCAGGTTCACAGGTAGACGAAAAATTTCCAGTCATAATAACAGCCTGGTCAGCACTGAACAATAAACCCTCCACAAAATCATTTTCATCCTTTTTCATGCTTTGTTCTTCAAACACTTTCACAGCATCATCCAAGGAATATGCAGGATGATAGTTCAATTTCACATACCTGTGCCAAAAAAGAAAGCAAATATGTACATGGACTCTCAGCCTCTTTCTACTGGGAGAATTTTTTGAACATCTATTGGAAAACATAAAATTAGAAGAAATGAAACATAATGTAGAACAGTTTTCTACTTGAAGAGTTCTATCCTCTGGGATATAATGCCATGTAACCCAGTGAAAATTAGCTAATATTTTGGAGGAACAAGCCACCTATATCTTCAGATCTGAAGAATAAACCAAGCATGAAACAGCATGAAGCAGGCAGCAAACAAAGTGATATGTTCCTCCAAACCATCAATTGTCTTTCATTGGACTATACGGCATTATATTCTAGATGATATAACTCTTCATATCCACTGCTGTGAGAACTTAAAATCCTACAACTTTGTACTAACCTAGTGACTTTAAATCATAGTAGCAGTGGTAGATACAATTAACTGAATGTACCAGGTCCACAGCAGCACAAAAACAGTTGTTTCAAAAGAAGTACGGGAATAGTGGGTCTCTTTAATAATATGTTCATGAGGTAAGTGGAAAGAACAAAAATAGTCTATTTAGTGAAAACAGCACATAAAAAATACTACAGCGCTCACTAGGAGTTGTAAGAAAACATTTGAGAGGTGGTGCTTTCAAAACCTTTTGTTACGAAGTACTGATACATATGCTATTGTAAAAGCCTTCAGAAGAAACACACCAAAATACTCTATTTATATAGCTATAAAAATGTTTACCTGCAACTTTAAAATGCCCTGACTAGATCGGAGATGAATACACATTACCAAGGACTTCTTGGAACAGGAATTACATTTTTATTGCATAGCAAACAGAAAAGTATTCTTTGAATGAAATAGTAATGAAATATACTGTATAACTGAAAATGTTAACATTACAGTAGTATGAGTATTAAATTTCAGCCACTTTTCAATTTCTCAACTCTTTTATAGGTGACTGTCTACCATTCTTTTCATATAATAAATATTCAAGTTCTGGAAAATTAAGACTTTAGTGGTGGTCACAGCGGTGGAAATGGTGGTGGTGGTGGTCACAGCGGTGGAAGTGGTGGTGGTGGTGGTCGCAGCAGTGGCGGTGGTGGTGGTGGTGGTGGTCGCAGCGGTGGCAGTGGTGGTGATGGTGGCAGTGTATTTGGTTATTGGAAATATAGTGCATTTACAACAATCAATCAATCAATCTTCACTACTGACGATACTTACTTCTGCGCTGGGATGATTCTGATTACTGCAGCTGTGAGGAAACCTAGTGTGCCATATGACCATGGAACAGCATAAAATAAATCTGGATCTGATTCCTACACAAGAAGAACATATTACAGAGTTCTTAGGCTTTTGTAGATGGGCTTCAGATTTTGGAAATATTCCATGTAGAAAGTTTAAGGTTTTTCATTTTGACAAACATTGTAATTGCAATTTTCATTGTTAATGACTTCAGGGGAATTTCTGCAACTCTTCCATTGATCTTGCAATGGAAGATGGGTTAGAGGTGAAGCTGTGATTGGGTGAAACAGAGGAACAGGGTGCTATGTAAAAGGGAGCAACCATAATGAAAGTGAAAGAAGGCGATGAGAAGTGCTTCAACAATCACATGGTCAGTGAAACATTTTTTTATCATCTTTTTTCAAGTCCATCTGAACTTCAAAACATTCTTCATCACCTCCTTTCACTGGCCATGTGGTCGCTCCATACCGAATACCAGTCTTCTCTTTTGTTTCATTCAATCATTCAATCGTTAGGTTTCAGATGGTTGATTCTGCAGATCATTGAATTTAATGTGAACAGTATGTGTTTGAGGATTCTAACATTCTGAAACAGGTAGGATAAATGATTCCAAAGTATGAAGGAAGGAAGTAGGAGATGATAAGATGTATGTAAAGGAATGGGTACCATAATGTCTCATTTTCTGAAAGTGACTAGACTAAAAGCGTAAATCTACTGACTGTAATCAAGATTTTAGGACACAGTCTTGTCCCTCACCTTTGAGCAAGTTACCAAACTGCCATCAGCCAAAACTAGCTCATAAGATACACATATGTGTTGAAACAGGCCATATATGTGAGAAGAAGATTCCACACCTGTACCCATTATAAGTCCACCTAAAAAGCAATGTAATTATATAGTAATATTTGTATTAAACCCGCTAATTTAATTTCTAATATGGATCTATTCAATCCACATTAATCAATAATTAAAATCATATTAAGAACAATTCAATCTTGTGGGACATAATCGCCATGTTGTTTCTTGAAAGCCAACTGACGTTTTGGACAAACAGATTGTCTCCATCTACCAGGTCAAAGAATAAGCCAAGAAAGAAATCAGCATGAAGCAGGTAGCAAACAAATCTTATTCTTCATCCCTGAAGGTAGACGTGTCACCTTCCTCTGAGATATCAGTTTACTTTCAGTGGACTACATGGCGTTATATCTTAGAAGTCAAAAATCTTTATTACCACCACTGTGAGAACCTCAAATTCTACAAGAATGTATTAAGCACACAGGGGATGTTTGCCATAGTTAATTGTAGGTGTTTAAAAATCTATAAATGAAATTAAAAAGAAATAAAAACTTTCAGTTTAAAATAATTTAAACTTATCTTGATGTGTAAGAGTGAATAAAGAAGTTCATAACATTTATTATACATAATCTGAAGAACCTACAATAAATGTGTATGTTCAATAAGTATAGGCTCATGCATGAGTTACGCCCAGTGGCATAACTCATACTCTTGTTTTTCTTTTTGTTCTCTTAGGTATAATTTTAATTCTTGTATTGGGGTTTTACTGAGGTCTGTCTGGTAGAGTTAGGTTGGTGTATCTTTTCAGTCTATGTGTAGTTTCGCTATCGTTTACTGGGTTCACTGCTAGTGCATTAGTGTGGTTTTCTAATTTTCTTAACTATTGGGTATTTCATTGAGCACTGTGTTCATGGATGCTGTGGTTGTTTATGTAGCAGAGAGTGTTCAGAATGTTCAGGAAGACTTGCATTGAAAGCGCTGGAGGATTTCAATGTTGGAATTGGAGGCTGACCCTCATAGCTGAATTTCGTAGGTCCATATGGCCTTGAGTATTGCTTTGTATAGAAGGAGTTTGTGTTCTATTGATAGTGTCGATCTTCTTCCGAGTAGCCAGTGCATTTGTTTCACATTTTGGTTGAGCTGTTTCCTTTTGGATTTAATGTGCTTTGCCCATGTCAGTTTTCTACCGAGATGCTTGCCCAGGTATTTCACTTCATTTTTCTGGGGTAGATTAACATTGCCCATTTCCTGTCGGACACATTCAGTACTGTATATAAGAACATCACACAGAACAACAACAGACTTCAATTACAATTTATCAAAAATATTTATTGAATGAAAGATAAATTAGTCCTTACTGAGAATATAACATATAATCTGTATCTTAAAACAGACATGAACACATACCAACAGTTAGGTCATCTAGTTCTGGAACAATGGGTATAGTCCAACCCAATGGATCAAGAGTAGCTGTCAACTGACCCATTGTCACCAGAGGTTCTACACGTACTGTCTGAAATGTAGTAAATTTCTAATTTATAACCCAGCACTGAATACAGGGTACAATTGTTGGTGAGAATGTAATCTCATGATTACATGTCATATGCTGGCCAACACCTGCAAACCAAAGTGCACAAGTGTTGGCACTTAATGCTTGTGCTGAAACAAAATTAGTTTTGCTGCATGAAAAGAACTAACTAGAAATCAACATTAGCAGAGAGATAAAAATCAGGAAGAGGAAGAAGACGGCTGATACAGAATTAGAGGATTTCGACGTTCATCTAGAAATCGATATTCTTGAAGATCAAAGGTATCTGCAGAGACAGTGACAACTAAATATGTTATTATGGAATTACTTCATGCAGAAGGATGATGATCTCGGAGCTGTGGAAGAAGCACTTTCAAGACACTTAAAGTGAAGTGGAAACCTCCAGTGAATGTAGAATACAAATATCCTCTGACATGGAAAATAGTGAGATTGCCATTCACTAGGAAGATGGTGCAAAATTATTGAGTTTTCAAGACAAAAGAAGCAGCAAATTTCAAAGAACATCCACAACAATCAGAATTAGCAGCAAGGTACCAAATTCAAAAGCCTGATGGGGCTATAATGATACTTTCGAAATGTAGCAAAATGTTCATCCGTAACATTGTTGCTGCATACTGATAAGTAAAAGTAAAGCTATCCCTGTACCAGGCCGTGAAGGCCCATAGGGTTATGAGACGTTGAAGGTCCCACATATCTAGACAATCGGCTCAAAGATGGCGGTAAGGTTGTCAGCCTTATGCACCGGTCGCACTTTACTCCCCAGGATAATTATTTAATTAATCCCTGGTACTCATTTCTGTTAGAGGCTGAGTGAACCCCAGCGCCATAGTGCGACTGGAAGGATTAGGTCAATTGAAAAAATCCAATGACCTCATTGGGACTTGAACCCGCGACCTTTCGGCTTGTATCATAGCCCTTCAACCAACTACGCTACCGCGCATCCTGATGCAGAACTTTAACTGGATATGCACCACCTGGACATCGCCACAATTTCCTCAATTGGATACAGAGAACAAGAAGTGCACATACATCAACCCCCTGAGTTTCTCAGAGATGGATAAGAATGTAAAGCCTGAATTTTAAAGAAAAACTCAATCATCAGGAACATGGAAAATGAAGACATGCACAGCGCTGACTAGGCCAGTATCAAATGCTCGGATCATGAACAATGAGTCTACTGCAACATTAACAAGGAGAGTACAGTCACTTGTGCTTTGCATGCACATGATAATCCCATTTTCTTTAACAATAAAAAGAAGAGAGAAAAGTTCAGAATGAATCTGAAGAAAGGCTTGAAGTGAAGGAGCTCAGAGAAGAAAGAAGTGCCTTGATATAAAAATTCAAAGAGACAGGCAGAATAGTGCGATTTGTGGGAATGAACAAAAAAATACAGAGGAAATGCTACAAATACGTATTTGGCATGGCAGACCTGAAACCCAAGAAAACTCCACTATATGCCAATCAGAAGATATAAGAGAATGAGGCAGAGACCCAATGTGAACCTGATGCATTTCACTGATGTTAGCAGAATCCTTTTTACGCCTAGCAGCGTCAATTTGACCAGACTATCAATCTCTTTGTAGACATAAAACTACATACATTTTCTTTATTTACGTTCAAGAAATAAGATTTAAGACCATTGATGACAGTTTCATACAATGAATCATTAACACATATAACAAATACACTCAACTCTCAATTATCCGGGATAATGGTGGGGATGGAAATCACGATTAATCGAAAACCCGGTTAAGACAAATTTGATTAAAATTAGTACTGTAATACTGTACCTTCATAATACTAAAGGCCTACCTGTATTTAAATTTATTCAACCTCATTTTTATGTCATCTCATGGCCTATTTAATACTTTTTTTTACATTACACTGAAGTATGAATTAGTTATTTAAATCACAGTGTTCAACAACATCCAACACTTTTTATGAATATGCACACTTAACACACTGTCGTTTGCTTTTTCGCGGCATTTTCCTTTTTACGGATATCCGTACGAAGGCTACGTAATATTAGCTTGTCACTTAATAAACTGTTCTCTTCACTCTCAAGATCACTCAAGATAGTCTAGTAAGGATTCCAAATGATTAAGAGCAGCACCGTGTGATATTTTCTTACTAGCAGCACCATCCACCTCTTCCTCATTCTCCCTTTTTTTTCCCGCTCTTCTGGCTGAACCCCCACTGAACTTGATTTCGTCACCGCTTAACATTTCGAAGCCCGGCTCACACGAGTTTCTGTTGAATAATTAACACAACACGCTTCCTTTCACACCCTGACATTTTGCTAACACACTTGAAGATCGATACAAAGAGACTAACTGGATCGGTGTATCTGTCCTTGAAACTTTCCACAAATCCTTGCATTCTTTCACCTCTACCCTAGAACATTTTGTTAGCATAACGGAACCAAAAAATGCAGAGCTCGGTTCACACTAGTGCGAAAATAGTGGTACAACTCACCATGTGAAACAAAAGTGAATGAAAATTAAACAACATATAAACCTCAAAAAAGCCCCGGTAGTCCCGGTTAAGCCGCAAACCGGTTTATCCGCCCCCGGATAATCGAGAGTTGAGTGTATTTATAAATTTGTCAGCAACTGTAAGCACGCATTTATTTGGTAAATACTGCGGTCTAAAACAATCAGATGACTATGATTACAAGGGAACTAGTCACGTGTTGGCCTTTCACTTTGCCTAAGATACAGACTTTGTGTCAGGACAAGTACTATGTGGAATCAAAACACTTATCTTGAAGTCACTAAATAACATATATTGCTTAATCCAATAATGACTTAAAGTGACAATTAACAATCATTATTTCTTGCAATCATTAGTAAGAAATCCAAAAGCAGAAGGCCAAAACTTCAGTCTTGGTTGATACACTACTATTGTACTATACTGAACTCTAAGCAGTATTTACCAGGAGTGAACTAAAACATCTCCACAACCTGCCAGAATGATCACGGGAGAATCCTCACACTATTCAATTTACATTTACGTTTATTTTCACTTCATGGATCCAATCACCTCCCTGTAGGGCTGGATATAAAACATGTCACACATTACAAATTCATGATGACTACACATCATACGTCCTTGGTCCAATAAAGTATATAATCAGGCCTCACGCAGACAGCACAAATTGTCAAGACAAGACACATAGGCCATGGGAAAACCACTGTCACATTCAACCCTGAAAAAAATCCCTCATATTTCCAAACATAACAACTCTATACTGTGCAACTGCACACCTTGCCATTCCACACACATTGGCCGGCCATATCATCAATACAGTTTCATTCTAACATATTAAAATTCATAACAAACACAGACATCATACATACTGCCACATTTACAACAAACAAATATCAACAACGTATAATACAAGCACACAGACCATTTATTAACTCTTAACAATTTAATGGCCTTCATTTCAATAATGATAAATGATATCATTTAGAAAATGTGACACCGCAGCAGGCCAACAATCTATGAGCACAACATGGAGTTGAAACATCGGAATTGCCCCTGCAAATTAAAGACACTCCAAACTTTATAGCTCTGTTCTAAGTTGTTACTTTTTTATAAATTATATAATTTACAAGAGTGACAGTGTAGCACACCAGCAGTCTATACACACAAGATGTTGCACCTTCGAGACTGCCCCAGCAAATTAAATCATTAAGCACTGTAGCATGCACCTGAATTATAATACCATTTGGTATCTATGCTTTTATTCACTGTAATGAAAAGTAATAAAGTAAGATATTACTCATAAATAATAGAATGTGTATGTGAATGGATAATTATGTCATTTTCTTAAAAAAAAAACAGCAAAAGATCGTAACTCAACATGGGTAAAATTGAACAATACTTCATTTATACCCTCAGTCTCTCAAAGCATGGCACACATAACTCTGAATCACACTGTATGTTGAAGTGAAATGAATACCTGTTTTTCAACATCAATTTCCAAAATATCAATCAAATTAATGTCAATGTTCCAAAGCTTCTTCTTGTACTTTGGTTTGCTCAGTGACATTGTCTGCCACCCTGGTCTGGAAGTGCACATTGGAACGGTCATTCCTGACGCCCTCCAATTCTGTACCTAAAATAAAAATAATTTCTGCTTGGTCATTCCAAACTTCTCAGAAATATTTACAATAATGTTTATTAACTCATGATTAAATTATATTCTACATAAAGTTACCATGATGATGCCTTAACGTTTCTGAGAGGATTATTTTATAAACTAGAATATCTCAAGAGACATAAAAATAAATTTATGTGATGATCTGCAGCAATTCCCATCAACCTGAATTGGACAGATGTTATATACAGGTGGTGCTCCATGTACATCCAGCTTTACCAGCCCAATGTATTCACGGTTTGTAATTTGCATATGCAGCAATACCTCGCATAGTCCAGGTAATTGGTTCTGCCAATATACCGGACTGTTTGATACCGGATTAATCGAAGAACTAAATACATACATAAAATGATAATTTGTTTAAAAAAAATCCGTTTTCAATAAATAAAACGCGATTAATAAATTCAATGTCTTTATTATAAATAATTTTTAAAAAATCATGTTTTTCGCAATTAATTTTTTATTCTCTAAAAATTACTATATTGATGTCTGCACATTTTTCTTCTTTGGCCCTTTCTCTTCATACATTTCTTTGTAGCAACGAATTGCATTGTTTATCGTTCGGCGAATTGGAAGGCTACGTTCAATATGGGGATCAACTTCTATAATATGCTCTGACAAGGTTTCAACCATTCCAGTAATTTTTTATAGTTGTTCAGCTGTTAATTCTCGTGCAGGCACTTCAACACATTCGTCGCTGTCTAAGTTGTCCTCCCGTTTTTCATAAGCCCGTTGTTCATCTGTGTTAATACGTGTTTCATTATCTAGTTCATTACTGTTCGATTTGATGCACTCAATTACGTTGGCAGAATCTGACTCACTGAAACCAACTTGCTGTCCAATTTCCACTATGTTATTGGTGACTAAAGCAAAATTAGTTTCAAAACCAATGAAATCATTTGCACAATGAGGTACGATACTTTTTCATACTGCCCTCATATTGCCTGCCGTTAATTCATGCCACGCTAAGCCTATATTTTCGATAACGTTTCTGATGTTGTAGCTCTTCCAAAATTCCGTTAAAGTAGTGCTCTCCCCACCTCCTCCAGCGATAGCTGTCAGCTCAAGAACGAACTACCTGAGCATAGGTACATACATATATATACAACGGGGAACCCCAGAAAAATTTGAAATATGTATCGTATCGCATAACTTTAAAACCACATAAAAATACACCGCACAAAAAGAGACTTGACTGTATAAAGGGAGAAAACCGATCATTTATGTATTGAAAATAATTTTGTGTACTAATTTTTTAGAATTTATTTTTATTTTGCTCAATTAAAATTTAGTTTGTTTTGAAATTTTCAAACCGGACTATATTGAATCCGGACTGATCGAAGCCGGACTATGCGAGGTATTGCTGTACATGGAAAAGTTAGTGGGTACCACACAAAGAGGTCAATATTTGATGAGTACAGTATTGTATTTATACTGAAACCAGTTTTCTACATTCCAGATTACCACTGCAATGACTCTTGCTATGAAATTTTTTATATTTTATGCCTAGCTTAATTTCAAAAAGCTATTACGCATATTTTGTTTACTGAAAGAAAGAGCAGGCAATTTAATACGGTTTTATGAAAGTTAAGAGAGGCATTTCTTAGAAAATTCCCTGGTATTAAAACCATTCCATTGTGTTAAATGTACCATTGTCACATAGTTCAGATCTTATTGAAAGGCATTCTATTTAAAAGTTCCAACTGCAAAGGTTATGTTTCTGAGAAAAGAAAAGCACTGGATTTCACAAACTCAAAGCCTAATCAGAAATCGGAGGACCCTCTGTTAAAAATGAAATGACATTATGTCCTACTTCTTGATGAAAGTCTAGATTTTCTGTAATTGATAAAAAAAAAGTACTGAAGGCATCTGCAATTTCTCCTGTTGACCGGCTCCACGGCTAACGCTTTTCGGCGACCGGGCCGCCGCTTACCGCATACGAATTTTGCCAACGAATCAGCAAGCCTGATGGCCGATAACTTTTGTGATGAAGTGGAGTAATTGACTTGTGGACCACTTGACGACATTATGTTTCATGGCGAATAGTGCCGTTCATGCGTGTGAGTTTGTTTACGAGTTGTCAGCAGCAGACATCAGTGATCAACTCCATTAACCATCTGTTCTCAGTTACATTTAGAGCAACGTGTATTTCTGTATGCCACCTACGTGAAATACAGATCTGCTACGAAGTATCAGCGAAAATTTCGTGATGAAAGAGTTCCCAGTAGACAAACAATTCACAGTTTGGTGCATAAACTTACATTAACGGGACTCTTAATAAACAAGAAACAATAACATAAGCGCAGAGAGCTTAGTGAGAAGTTAGATGATACTGGGCCCAGACTTTAACATACACCTAGAAAATCACTGAAATGCCTAGCTAAAGTGACTGAAGTGTCAAAGTCTGGTGCAAGACCTGCAGCACAATTGCTGAATATTATACCATATGAAACAACAATAAACCACACCTTGCAGTCGCGCGATCCAGCTAACAGGGTTCATTTTTGCAGTTGGTTTCTACAGTCTGTCGTTGAAGGTGAGATCGATCAGAAATTGGCATTCTTTTCTGATTAGACATGGTTTCACTTGCAGGGATACAAAAAATACGCAATATAATCGCTACTGGAGTTCACAGAATCCACATCTAACCTACGAAGTCCCGCCTCATTCGATGGAAGTTGTTGTCTGGTGTGCTGTAAGCGCAATAAGGATTGCTGTAACTGAGTTTTTTTTAACGAAACAATTGACTGCGAAAGATATCTACGTGTAGAGGCGCAGCATTTTCAACGCCCCGCGATCTGTAGACTGTAACTACGGTATTCCGAACGTTATCGGTCAAAAAGCATATTGATTCATCGGCGAAATTCGTATGCGCCTCGCAGCCGGCGGTGCACCGGTTGCCGTGAACCGGTCAACAAGGGTAAGAACCTCCCTGTACATGCCGTCCACTGACCATGGGCGCCGACAGGGTCTTTTCCAATTGGGGAAGCCAGGAGATGTCCTTATAAACTTATGTTTATGCCGTTTGAAACTACTGGCATTTGTACTGGTAGCTTCAGAGTTCATTCATTCGTTCATGTTTATTAATCCTACAGATCAGATTACACTGATGTAGGACATGTCATTTGATATTATAAAATTAGCAAAAATACAATAATTCTTAACGAATAGCTAACAAAATATGTAACAGTTGTTTACCTCTAGCATGTATCATTATCCAGTATTTAAGAATTTATCATTCATATAGTCTTCAATTGAGTAGCAACACCCATTAATGAGTAAATTCTTCAGTTCCCTTATAAACTGGTTTTTATTTTCAATTTATTTTATATTATTAGGTAATTTTTTATAAAAGATACAACCAGCAACTGAAGGTTTACAATTATAAAGTTCTAAGTTATGCACCCATTTATGGTATTCATTATTGTTTCTTGCATTGTGAGTGTACTTGTTTATTTACCGTGCAATTACACATATTTACTACATATAAGATGGTTTGTTGTATGTACAACGAATATTCGGGATAGAGAAATAAATTTAAAACGTAATTTTAGTTCTTCGTATTAATATGATATAGTTACTTCCTTCTGAATTTTGACTTATTTTCCAAAAATCCAGCGGGGTGAGCGCAGAGACCTGACTTTCCTTCCTCCTGGCGTCCATACTAATGAGCAGAATTTTTACTCACCTGCTTCTGTACATTTTGTACTTTTCTGTGGTGCAGTTTCGGAGCACTGTTTAATTTAACTATAATCCAGTTTCTCCCGTAATTATAAATTTCATATAGTAAAGAAGCTGGAAGCAAGAAGAAACAAACAAAAACCCAGCGATAATTTATAAGAATATATTCAATTACTCTGTCAACAACACTTGGAAACCCCATAACAGCGGCGTTTGTAACAACACGCACCAGCAACTGTTCACAGACTGACCGGTGAACGGTGAAGTTTCTACCTCGCCTCGCGTCGGATACACTTGACCTTGTAGCCTGGAAGCAGCCAATCGCACATTGCTGTTTATGTAGCCATTACGTAATAGTTAAACTGATTCACAGCCCTCTCAATTAACAGCAGACTGTTGCCATCGGTTGCCATGAGAGGAGTAGATGGAGAACGTTGTACAAGGTCGTTGGTTGTAAAAGGTGGAGGGTATATCAAGGAAACTGGCAACCGCAACGCACACGCAAATTCGAAGAAAAATCGCCGATTTCAAGCAGGCAACTGGTTTCCGGATTAGCAGGCTCACATGGAGAATACTTATGTTTGAGTGGGTTGCTCACATCATCTTAAGTGGGTATGTTCGTCCGACATAATGCATGATTGCACTTTTTAATTTCGTGGACTGCAATGGCAGATAATAATACTGATCTTGTCATAATATGGTGGTAGCTGAGACCGGTTCAGACGGCGTGAGAAGTGAGGTCGAAGACCGTAAGGAAAATATTGGGATGTTAATTAATTTGTTTTGATTAAGGTCAATTTATTTTAATCAGGAAATATCACGTTCACACGCGACACGAAATTTTGACATACTGTGCAAGTATTTTAGAAAGATAAAAAGACACCTGATGATGACCGTATACAGCCGAATGATATAATTTGACTTGCCTAGCATAGTCTGAGTGGCGTTTGTCATGTACGTATGCCAGGCTCTTCGCAATTAACTGCACAAAAACAAAATTAGCAGATTCCTTAACCTTTCGTGCCATCTTAAACAATTGAATCACTGACGTGCGTTATAAAACAGCTAACACTAGAAAACGACGCTACAACGCAATTGTGACTAGACTGGCAGTTGAATTTCTCAGGCCTTCCGCGAGTTGCGTTACCGTTTCCTCAATTTGCGTTGTTCCTTCCAGTAACATGTATTCAACTCAGGCTAATAACAATTCTCGGAAATTGCTGTTGTCAGTTTCCTTGGTGTGCCCTTGCCCTTATCTTGCCTCTACCGGTACTCAAACTCCGACCCATCTGCGGTCTAGCCCGTAGACAGTCGCTTTACCGACTACACTATCCTGGCTCACAATGTAATGTTGTAACAGTTCTTCCTCATACTTACCACACTTATCACTATCCTTAATCTGTTTGAATTGGATGGGGCAAATGCATCAAGCCCCTGGGCTCCGATGAGGATATGTACACTGTTGAATCTGTTCTTCCTCTTTGTACTGAAAAGATGTTGAGTACTCAGAAAAACATATTTTAAAGTTGTCCATTCATCAGTTATGAAGCTAGAGAGGATCAATCATGTGAAGATTGTATGATCACCATAAGCTAATACGCGTAACTGGTCATTTAACTGTTCCAGCTACACAATCACACAGATCTTTCCCTTGTACTACTGCATTTACAATAGAATCGCGTTTCAAAAGCTGTCAAAAAGGCTATTTGTCTTAGCTTCGTCTTTTACAGTGATGAAACAATACTGACGACATACTTGAAAAGTCTGCATTTCATAAAGAAATGGATTAGAAAACAAAAATCTGGTTGTGTGGAATGTAAATTGAGTAACTTTTTTGGTATATTCATCTTATATAGCAGAAAATAGACTAAAAGTTTTTGAAGTAACATATAAATAACGCAGGCATCTCCTGCGAATAAATTCAAGCACACATTCAAATTTATATTACGCGCCTGTATTTACAATTTGTAGAAAGCATGATACTGCATATGGGACGACATAAGAGAGGTTCGGTTACTAATGAATCACGAATTCATTTTCGGAGGAAGGTATAAAAATGCGCCGTAAAATTAACAATCGATCACTACATAATAGTAATTTATTTTGCGTTTTCTTTCCTAAACTGGTTGTGCTGTTTTTCTTTTCGAAGTTTTAAAGGTTTATTTTTTGCCCAGCTGCATTATATTTAGAAATAAACACTTTTCTGGCAACAAAGCCTAAAAGCCCATTACACTAATACTAAATCACGCTATTTGCAACGATCTTCAGCGATTTCCATCAATTCCCATAATCACAGCCCTTTTCTTTAGGGTCCCTCTGAATATTTTAGAATTAATTACACATTTAAATTAAGTGATAAATTTTGTTCTTACATTTGCTAACTTCGTATATGTAGACAATGCCATCTGTTTTCCTGCAGACAACATAACAATTCCATTCACAACAATAAAAATGGTCTTCCTTGTTATCTTGTTCTAGTTTGGCTGCACTTCATAACTACAAGGGTTGGATAAAAAGTAGTGGCAACACTGCTGCAACATGAAAGATGTGCGTCAGGTGGCACTAGCACCGTCTGTAGCTGATAGCAGAAGTTCAGTTGAAGTAGTGCAGTGAGTGGCTCTGGTTGAGTTTCATTGAGTTCCATTGTGCATCGTCTTGAAGTGCAGGAGCCCAGTTCAAGCACCCTAACAACATGTTTACGAAACAAGAACAACGCTCTTGGATACAAATTGAAGTTGCACGAGGTAGTAGTGCACAAAACTGTTATCAGGGCCTGCGAGAAGCATGTGCTGATGCTGCTTTGCCATATCGCACAGTAGCACGATGAGTGAAATTGTTCCGTTAAGGGAGGGATGCCATTCATGACAACCGTCGTTCAGGACGATCCCATGTTGACAACCACACAATTCAGCTTCTTGCTTCTTTGCTGGATGTCGATCGTCGATGGGCTGCGTGGGAGTTAGCTGCGTATGTCACAAAACCGTGCTCCACATTCTGCACGTTATTCTTGGATACAGCAAAATTACAGCGCGTTGGGTACTCCATACAATGTCCGAGGTGCAACAATGGCAACGTTATGCAATTGCACAGGACTTCTTGGACCGGTACCAGAGGGAAGGTGACGACTTCCTTGGAAGGATCGTCACTCTGGACGAAATTTGGGCTCGCTCATACGAACCGCACTTGAAGCGACAATCAAATGAATGGAAGCATCCTACCTCTACTCGTCCAAAGAAAGTGCGCCCTACACAGAGTAATGTGAAGACGATTTTCATTGTGGCATATGACACTGATGGAGTGATACTGCACCACACTGTACCTCAACGACAGACAATAAACGCTGCCTACTACTATATCTTCGTCCAGCACTCAGGAGAAAGCGACGACACTTGTTGGCAACGAACCTCACCATCCTTCATGACAATGCAAGGGCTCATATTGTTGACGCTGTCAAGGATCTGTTTCGCCGCTGGCGATGGGAGATACTGCAACATCCGCCATACTCACCCGATATGAGTCCATGCGATTATGATATCTTTACCAAAATGAAAGAACCACTGCGAGGTACACGTTACAACACAAGAGAGGAGATTATTCGTGCTGTAGGGCGGTCACGGCTGGACATCAACAGAAGTGGACGCGCTGATTGTGTACGACGCCTTCCACAAATTTGGCAGAAGGTGGTACACATGGGGGGCGATTATATTGAAGGAATGTAAGTGTGTTTACATCATGTAATAAGGTCATTTCAGAACTATAGAGGTGTTGCCACTACTTTTTATCCGACCTTTGTATTTATATTACGATATATCTCATTACTCAGTTTGTAAATATCAGTTTCTGTGGTATAGAAGTGTGGTGAATGTTCGACCATTTAATTCCTTCAAAATAGCTTCATCAACGTCAGCATTTGCATATGTTGAAGTCGTCCAATTTAAGCTAGTGATTAAATTGGAATATTAAGAGCAAGACTTGGTGTAAGCGGCGTATAAACAACTGACACCTATATCCCTGCGGCACGGAATAGTGGTGCCATAGTGTCAGTTGTTACGTGAAGCCAATATAAATATATATATGAGCAAAGGATGCCGCTCATCGTTTGAAATATTACACTTCGCAGCTGCAGTCCAGCGAGGTCTCAGGAATCGTTGGGAATATCGCTGGACCAGCGGCTTCGAAGATATAATTGTAAGAGGGTATTGGAGGATTTAAAGTTGTAACACCCGCCTTCCGTTTGAATGATCGAATGAGAAGCAATGAAGACATATATCTGCGAGGGTGGGAGAATTAATGTCCCCAAACTCAAGGATATAGTCCGAGCTTCA